ATAAGAGCCCTGATCACTGAGAGGAGACTTTCACAATAAGAGCCCTGATCACTGAGGGGAGACTTTCACAATAAGAGCCCTGATCACTGAGGGGAGACTTTCACAATAAGAGCCCTGATCACTGAGAGGAGACTTTCACAATAAGAGCCCTGATCACTGAGAGGAGACTTTCACAATAAGAGCCCTGATCACTGAGGGGAGACTTTCACAATAAGAGCCCTGATCACTGAGGGGAGACTTTCACAATAAGAGCCCTGATCACTGAGGGGAGACTTTCACAATAAGAGCCCTGATCACTGAGAGGAGACTTTCACAATAAGAGCCCTGATCACTGAGAGGAGACTTTCACAATAAGAGCCCTGATCACTGAGGGGAGACTTTCACAATAAGAGACTCAGATGTCAGTTTAGTGGTTTCTTGTCTCCTTCACAATAAATGTGACCTCTGTGTCTGCAGGTCCGGATCCATGGGCCGCTCTGGATCTCCAGCCAGGAGGTGAGTCCTGGCTCAGACACACACACACTCACACACACTCACTCACACACACTCTCACTCACACACACACTCAGTAATGTTTGATTGCTCATGAAACCCTCCCTCTCTGCAGTCCCTCGAGCGCCGGGAGTCGCGGCCGGGACTGACGACGACGACGACCTCGAGTTTCTGTGAATTCTTTTATTTTGAAATATTCAGTTGATGTTGGGTAGTAGGAGTTTTTGTATGAACACACTGTTCTCTCTTGTATTTGATCATGTTTGCAGCTCAGTTTCCTTCCTGTTAACAAACAATAAAGATTTATACAACATGTGTTCTGACTGCTGATTGGCTGAGAGGCTCATATATAGAGATATCTTTAAAAGCATGATCATATTCTATTAAAAACTGTTGTCTACTTTAGCGGTCATTTTGATTTTTGCTCGATTCTCAGAAACCTTCAGAAGAAAAAAATGACTTGGAAAAAAATGTCTGACATTTTGTTTAAGTCTGAAAAAGAAATCTGAAACAACGTTTTTTTTCCCTCAGATTTAGGAAGAAACATTCTGAAAAGATGATCAACACTTTTTTTTTTTTTACAATATAGGTTTACATTAAAGGTCCCGTGTCATGGCCATCTCTACTGATCATAGTTCCATCGTTGAGGTCTACTAGAATAGATTCACATTGTTCAATGTTCCAAACTCACATTGGTTTCTCATACAGCATCTCTGTAAAGTATGTGTATTCACTCTCTGTCCTAAACGGCTTGTTGGAGCTCCTGCCCCCCCTCCCATGAGCCCACTGTGCTCTGATTGGTCAGCTCGCCCACTCTGTGCTGATGAGTCCACCACCGTTACAGCTGGACATCAGTGTTTATGTGTTAGCAACCAGAAAATGACA